TACAGAAGTCACAGCTAGCAAAACAGACTTTACCGCGACTCACAAAACAAAAATTTTGCCCAACCAGTCATGAACACCACCTACTTCAGCTCAAAATATTTTCACACCAGCTTCTTCACTCCATGTGTCCTGAATTAGAATCATAGATAAACAAATACAAGCTCTACAGGGATTCACAAATTCTACCTTATGGTGGAGCAACTCTTCTAGTTTAAAAATGATGGCCGATACCTGCCGGGGCCCTCCTAGGACTTACTCAGACCCCCAAACCCCTTTCCTCACTTCCTTCTGCTCCTCCACATCACTCTGAGATGCCCCTTGGTTCTCTTTTGGTTCTCCCTTGCAGGAGAAAGTGCATAAACCTAACTTTAGTAAGGATGCTTCTGGAGGCTTTTGTTGCTCAGATTTTCACACCCATAAAGAGGATAGAGGGAAGTAGGTGGAGGACAAGAGTTGAGTCTGGTGCCTCGAGATGTTTGCCACAAAGAAGGAAAAACGTGAGGGCACTAGGAGCAGATGAAAGATGGTACTCAGGCAAAGAGAAGCAAGATTATCTGCGAGATGCACTCTGGCAACTGATGGTTTCATGAAGTCCTCTTCCTCAAGAGCAGGGTCTCACTCAAAGGGTAAAGCTACAGGCTTCTGGTGTTGGAAGAGGTTTCTTGTCCACTACTTATCCTCTCCCATTCCAGTTCTACAGCTCTTTATGAAATACAGCTGATGAAACCAGAGGTCTTCAATAGATAAATGTGATGATCTTATCAGACACAACATCTCATTGCTTAATCGGCAGTTGTGTGCTTATGAGATATGTGTATCCAACTACCTTCTTGAAACGTCCACCTAGATGTCAACAGACCTTTCAACTCATGCCCAGCACTGAATTCCTGATTTTTCCTTCTGCCCCATGGCTAATCTTCTCTACCACCAGCCTTCTCATCAGAGGACATGGTAGCTCCTTCCTTCCAGTTGCTGTTACCAAATCATTTGGTTTATTGTTCTGTCTTCTCTTCTTCTCATGGCTGGAATCTAATCCATCAAAAAGCCTACTGACTCTACCTTCTCAGCCTACTCAGAACTGACCACATCACACTACCTCTTGTGCTAGCACCCTGGTCTCAGGACACAGCATCTCTCACCTGGATTACTATAACTGGTCCCCAGCTTCCCACAGACAAGAGTTAGCCTTCAAAACTTTAAGCTAAATTATGCCACTGCTCTACTCAGAAACCTGCAATGCCTCTCTACTTCTCTCAGAATAGAAGCCAAATCCTTACAGTTACCTATAGGTCTCCAGGACCTGACTTCTATGATTGTCTTGGCCTCTTCTGGGGGTCTGCTCTTCGTCCTTTCAAACCTGCCACCCAAGCTCCTTGTTGATCCTAGATGATGCCAGGCAGCCTTGTTTCATTGACTAGCCTCTCTGCCTGTAATGGGTTTTCCCCAAATTGGTGAATTCTCACCTTTTTTGGGCTTCCCAAGTGGTACAGTGGTAGACAATCCATCTGATAAACAGATAGAAAGTGAAGTCTCTCAGTCGTGCCCAACTCTTTACAACCCTATTGACTATAGCCTACCAGGCTCCTTTGTCCATGGGATTTTCCAGGAGAAGTACTAGAGTGGGCTGCCACTTCCTTCTTCAGGGGATCTTCCTGACCCAGGGATCAGGAAGATCTCCCACAAACAGGTAAACAGTGTTTTTAAACAGGTAAACAGGAGGCACAAGAAACCTGGGTTTGATCCTTGGGTCAGGAAGACCCCCTGGAATAGAAAATGGCAACCCACTCCAATATTCTCACCTGGAAAATTCCATGGACAGAGAGCCTGGCAGGCTATAGTCTATGCGGTTGCAAAGAGTCAGAAACCACAGAATGACTGAGTATACATGCATACTTCTTTCAGTCTTGAACTCATGAATGAAGCTAACATTAACCAACCTATTTAAACTACAATCCAACACCAATCTCTTTAAAGTGCCAGCCCTCCTTGATTAGCCCAACTTCTTTCTTTTTTTTTTTTTATAAATAACACGTATTCCTACTAACTTACTATAATATTTATTTGTCACATCTTTGCTTCCTCCCCTTCTCCCAGAATGCAAGATTCACAAAAGCAAGGATCTTTGTTTTGGTCAATGATTTACCCTAAGTGCCTAGAACATTGCCTGGCACCATAGATGCACTCAGGACATCCTACTAAACACATAATTCTGTAGCTTGTCATGCTTGCTCTCTCCTTGACTCAATGTCATGATCAGGAAGCAAACATACAAACAAAACAAGGTGCATGTAAAGCCACTCCCCTCCCCAAAAAAACTTTCAAACCATAGAATATTTCAGTATCACCCACAGCAAAACTCTTTAAGAATCATCTTCCCAAATTATTTTCCTAAGTTCTACTCATAAAATCAATGCAGCTGCTTCTATAATCTCTAAACATTTAATAAAAATCACACTTGTGATTTCTATTTTTTATCCTATGTTTTCAATTTCCCCTTTTTAAATTTTTTTTTCAAAAATAGCTCTCAAATCAATCAAGCTGAAATCTGAAAGGATAAAAGTAAGAAAGAGCCAGTATAGGGCTGCGTAAGGAGAATTTAGGTAGTCTGAAAATAAAATGGCAGAATGGCAGTTGCAAAGTTTCAGTTAATAAGGGCATGAAACCCAACTAGAGGTGAGCCAGCGGCGTACCGTTAAGGAGTCACGGATGGGCCACAGCTGTGTGAAGACTGGGTAACGGCCCTGTGCTCGCATGTGCAAAGACAGGTTGAGGGTGAGCTCATCAGTGAGCACCTCAATGGTTTGAATAAGGTGAATCTAGTTCTGAATTCTACATGCAAAAATACAACACTTCACGGATTAAGACAGAACTGTGCACATTTTAGGTGAATAAAGGAATCTGCTATTTCATACATTGTGAATTAATGTACAGAAATCACTGCCCTGGTAATGAACATTTCACTATATATGTTGTACACGTGAAGCTATGATATAATGATACAGGGCAATTATACCTAAAAAAAAAAAAAAAGAAGAAATCAATGCCCTCAAAAAATAAGACAAGCAGAGAAGGAATTCAATAGTGGATTTAGGAAACTTGGGATGCATCAGAGGTGATTACTTCTGCATGGGCACTCTTTCGGGTTAGCACCCTGCAGGATAAGAAAGATGTATTACTTGTTCTGTCAGCTACAGAGTGCTCAGCAACACAGACAATGGCATGATGCCAGTTTGGCAAAAGAACACTTTGTACATATATTCCTATACCTGTCCCAAACTGAAATTTGCATCCCCATTCCACATTGTCTCTTGTGTTCTTCTTACCAGGAGGGCCTGGTTCATTTACCAAAATCTCATTCATTCTTTTGGAGACATTTTAACTTCTAATATTGCCATGGGTGTACTACAGTGAAATCTCAACACTTCACCCACACTTCCTTGGAAGCAAACAATTTACACAATTCCCAGAAAACATGCTGTTTGGAGTGAGATTACAACATCACCATAAAACCTAGCCAGTTTACAAAAGCTAGATGAACTAACTTGGCTATTATTGACAGAAATTGTTGTATCATTAAAGTTACTGACATAGAAAATGAAAAAGGGACTAAAGTGACTCATACACTGTCTATTACTAAGAGGGAAAATCTTCCTGTATGGAAAACCATTACTAAAATTTGTGAATACACAGAGAATATCAGAATATATGTTCTTAGAACATGCATTTCTCAGTTTTTGTGATTATTACCACCACTTGCTTTAGGCAGAAATAACAACTATTACATTATTGATGGTTCAAAAATTAGGAGTATATTTTTATTAAAATGTTTGTTGCTCTGTTTAAATATAAACTGTTTAGGCTACAAGTACCTATATTTGTATAAATGCAATAAATAAAGCACTATGCTATGCCTTATTAGAAACATATTAAAGCTTTAAAAAGTTACATTCTATGGACATCGTAAACTTTATCATTCACATGAATACTACTTTATTAAGATTATATGAAAGCAAGCTTATTTCATAATAGGTGATTTTATATATTTTTAAGATTCATTATATGTCTCTACATGACTTCCCCAAGGATCTCATATTAAATGAAATAAGTTTAGTAGAGACTTAGGTCTATATTTTATTGGGGACAGACTGAGACTTATGGAACTTTAATTTTCAAAATATAAAACTAATTTTAAAAAATTTCAGAATAAAATAATCCTCTCATAAAAGATGTGAAAATAGGATAGACCATCACCTAAATCCACCAGGTTAAATTCAGCTCATAGTTAGATGTAGTTTGTTTGTGGGAAATACATCTCAAAATGAAATATTTTCATGTCGGAATAAAAGGAACTTCTTAGAAGTATGTTACGGTAGTATATGTAATGCTGCCATAATATTTCATATAAAAGTTGTATCTTTCCACCATGTAAGAGGTCAGCTAAGTTTTTATAAAAAGTTTCCCCCCCTCAGATTTTCAAAAGCTTATAAGGATGAGAGTTTGTAATATTTCACTATGTCTGCTTTATAAGCAGACTCAACTACATTAAATAGCCTACTTCAGTAAACCCCCATATTGCCTGCCAATAATTTTCAACATTTCTTTTCCTCTAAGAGGGGACTTTAGATGGGATCATACACCGTGAATGAGTCACGACCAAGACAAAGAGCAGGGGGCCTTTCTGCTGTGGGCATAGTTTATATGCATAGTTTATTTAAAAATAAACTGAATTCCGTTTCCAGCTGTTACTTGCAAAACTATGTGCAAAATGATCACATTCACCAAGGAGGGCTGAATGGATTAATATGACATCATAGATTGTCATATATAACCATGCCCTAATATAAACATCATTTCTAATATCACAAACATATACCACAGGCATGGCCAATGACTTCTGCCACCTTGCTCCATAAAGCATTGTGCGTTTCAGAGCTTAACTTGTCCTACAACAAAACATGAATTTTGAAAGTTTGGCAATTCAAGGTAGGATGACAGACCACTTACCTATCTATGATGGCACACATATCAATGCTGACATTTGCAAAACTTCCAGGCCTCCTTTGCGCCACTTCGGATAAATTTACAAGTTGGTCATCCACTTGAATGAGCTGCATACATCCTTGGAATGAAGGCTGAAGGACAGAGTGACTTGAGTTATTCATCTGGTTCAGATAACCTGTGAGAGAGAAAAAAATGGGAATGTTCAATTCTGTGTGAGGCATGCTTCGCTAAAATTCCTCTGGGTGGTTTTCCCTGACCACACCATCGCATCCAACTGCTGTGTTTTGTTGATCCTACTCATGTTGTATTCAATGTGGAAGCATGAATTCTTTTGAGAAAATGGTATTATTTCAGCTGAAGGTGTAAGGGTTGAACCTAGGCAAATGTTTGTCTCTGGGGTCCAGCATCCTTCATATTTTCTCTTTTGACATCTTTTTCACCCTGTCAGATCTCTCTGTCCCTCTGTTCATTCCTATACTTCTTCATCTGACTCTGTCTTCAGAGATCAGGATGTATAATTATGGCCTTTCCCAACTATCCAACCATCTTTCTTTTATCTCTTCAATATTTACTTCTATTTTCTTAATTTCTTAGGGGCACTTTATTCAGATGTCAAGAAGTTAAAACTTACTATTATCAACTAAGGTGGATTTCCTTTATGGATTAATATCTAACTCAATCCAAAGAGACATTTGCATTATAAATAACTTCTCAATTTATAAAACCCAAAGAAACATAAATTTAGGCATAAGGGTCAGTCACCCAGCTCTGAATATCCATCTCAGGTAAGGTATCTAATATGATATATGGAGCAAAAGTGATAAGAAGTAAAACTAAAATTTTAAAAGGATGAATAACAAGGCAAGAAGAGAAAATTTCTATTAGGATTAGAAATTACTGGTTCTATTATGGAGTAGAACATGCATATGCCAAGGTTGAGATTAGAAACTTTTTCAAAACTTTATTGCAAAGTAACTTTAAAATAGCACCACAAATCAATTGCCTTTATGTCTTTTCAATAGAAAAAAATCATAATACATGTTATGCATAAAAAACCTGTGGGTCATATGGAATACATCTTCTTGATCCCATTAAATATCTCCACAAAGTCCCCCAAAGCTACTTTTCATATTGTCCCCATATAAAATTCACCTTCTAGAGCAAATTTAAATGGTAGTATTTTTATGCTTAAAAACCTCAAATTACTGACAATCTTTTCCATTTAATATTATATTTACAGCAAAAAAAAACCCAAAAACAATTTATACAAAGTAGGTTGGTATCAAATGAAGTGAAAGTTGCTAAATCATGTCCAGCTCTTTGAAACCCCATGGAATTCTCCAGTCCATGGAATTCTCCAGTCCACAGAATTCTCCAGGCCAGAATACTGGAGTGGGTAGCCTTTCCCTTCTCCAGGGGATCTTCCCAGCCCAGGGATCGAACCCAGGTGTCCCACATTGCAGGCAAAGACACTGTATAGTCCATGGGATCACAAAGAGTTAGACACGACTGAGCAACTTTGGTATTAAGATGTGCCATTAATTGGATAAAAGGAAATTTCAATAAAAAACTTTTTCAGAAATTGCCCATTAAGTGATTTTTTAAATGTCCTATTTTGTTTGACTAGTAACAGTGTTTTAAAGCAAAAGAAATATCCCTTTAATAATGGGTTACATAATTAAAACCTAATGATAATCAATTGATTCCTCTTTAAGGATTAATCACAGAAGTGTACACAATCATTTTCTATCAACACAGTACTATGTAAAAATAAGGTTATACTTAAGTAAATTTCTTGAGTTAAAAAATAAATATAAGGCTCTATTTCAATGTCAAACATATGGTATTCTTTTTTTCTTCTTTCTTTTCTGAGTCACTTTTTCCCCCCATTTGCACTGACTTAATCCCCTCAGACAATTGCTGATCTTAGCTAAGTTGTCTATTTAGACTAACTGTATGTATACATATGATTTTCAATCTGTCTAATCAAGATAAAATTGAATGGGGTTTAATGTCTAAACTTAGCAGACAGAAAACATCCAGCTGTAACTTTATTGACTATTCTTAACAAGATGATCACTTGATTCTGCTTTTTGAACACTTGGAAGTCTCTAAATATCTACACTTGCTTTGAAGTATTCCAAAATGGGTAGATCTATTGTGAGAACAAGATCTTCTCTGAAGCAAGGCAGTTGTGTAACACACAAGATCACTATGGACTGGGTATATTTAAGTTCATAAAACAAGACTTCATCAGTTACTCATAACAATGATGTTTACTCCTGGTGAATTTTGGAGTTTGAAGTTATCAAGTCCTTTCATTTTCCTACATGAGATACATTCTAGGAGAAAATACTTATAGTACAAACTTCTATGTGTCCATTAAATTATAGCCATGAAGACTTATGGCTCTTGAAGAGGTTATCAGTAATGGGTGAAAGAAAGGCGAGGAAACAGTGTTATCAGAAATGGAAGAAAACTGAATCCTTACTATGTTGCAGTGGAAAGTTCAGCAGCACCGTGATAATATTGAAAGGAAAACACTGCACTTAATGAGCTTTATAATCTAGCTGAGGATATTTCTGTGCATAGTATTCTGGCACCTTCTTTCTGTTTATAGTAAAAGGGGAAAAGAAGAGAGAAAATCTGTTAAATATGAGGAAGCCAGGTCTTAGTGGATTTTATTTATTTATTTTTTTAATTTTTATTAGTTGGAGGCTAATTATTTTGCATTATTACAGTAGTTTTTGTTATACATTGATATGAATTAGCCCTGGATTTACATGTATTCCCCATCCCAGTCCCCCCTCCCACCTCCCTCTTAAGCAATGCCGCCCGCTCCTCTCCGTTCCGCCCCGCTTGTTGCTGGCGGGTGCTGGCGTCTGGGGTACTTTTCTGCTGGGAGTTGCTTTTAGGCACGTAATCTGTGGGCCTTGTTTAATTTTTCCTCCCAGTTACAGTGCCGAAAACTTCCCCCAGTCCCGCCAGTGAGAGGGTTTCCTGGTGATTAGAAACTTCCTCTATTAAGACTCCCTTCCCGGGACGGGTCTCCGTCCGTAGCTCTTTTGACTCCCTTATTATCGTTTATATTTTGTCCTACCTCCCTTCGAAGACAATGGGCTGCTTTTCTGGGCTCCTGATGTCCTCTGCTAGCGATCAGAAGTTCTTTTGTGAAATTTGCTCAGCATTCAAATGTTCTTTTGATGAATTTGTAGGAGAGAAAGTGGTCTCTCCGTCCTATTCCTCCGCCATCTTGGCTCCTCCCCCTCCAATTTTTTCCTTAGTGGATTTTAAAATAAAATATTTTCTTAAACTTCAGTCTCTCCAGGTGTTGAACAATGCAAAAATTAAGAAATCTCTTCAAGGCAAATTTCAACTACCAGGAAAACATGATCTAAAGATAATAATGAGGTGTGACTATAAAATCCATATTAAGACCTCCAAAATATATTAGACAATGCTTCCAAGAACCATTCATTCAGACAAAAGAACCTCTAGGTAGCTAGCTTAGTGATGTGATTTATAGAGCCCCTGATTTAAACAATGAAGATTCTAAAAATAATCTTAAGGACATTTTCCCCTCAGCATATCAGCAGAAGCCCAATGTAAACAAAACAAAACAAACAAACAAACAAAAAACACATATCTTTATGAAAGTGTGGATAAGGCTTTTGTTTAATGGAGTAAAGCTTATAGGTATCCTGTAAGTTTTTAAGAGAACTGTACTAGTAGAATATGGACCACTCCCTTATAGTTGGCAATGGGTTAAAGATGCTGTCTCTGATACTGGAAATTCCTGATATTCTAACCCACTCCCCCCTCCTTGAAATGAAGGCCAGCATATTATTTATTTTCTGTATTTGTTCCCTTTATGTCAAATATAATTTCAGTAAAAACTCCTAATGCAATAGTGTCTGTGATTCTTTTAATGACTACCCTACCCTAAAGTTCAGGATTTAATATAGTAGATTAACAGCAGGGTTATTTGGAGAAAAAAAAAATTGCATCTGGAGTACTGAGGGTCAGAAATGAATAGATATAAAATGGATAGAGGGTCAACCTCAATTAAAACTTGCTAAGTTATTATAAAAATTATATACAGTAAAAAAGTAAACTCTTTTATGTTTCAGCTTAGAGCTTAAATTTGCTACATCTATGGATTTGAAATAAAAAATGTAATGTTCATATATTGGTTGTCTTTACTGGGTTCTATGATCTGACAGTATACTGTAACACCCACAGTGAATTTTAACCATGTTATCCTCAATTGCATCTATCAGTGAACTGGACAATTATGGTACCTTACTGGTATGTTTGAAATTTCCATTTTAAGACTTAGCATATAAAAACTTTATACTTGATTTGAGGCCCAACATTTTGCTATTCTCATTGACAAAACAAACATGTGCATTTTCACAGTTTTAAAATTTTAACTCAGATATACATTAGTGAAAAATAGGCTGTTATTTGTTTTGACATTAAAATGCCAATTTAAGTAGTAAATTATAACATTAACTTGATGGAACAAAAAAGCAAACAATAGGCAACAAGGTTGAGTATTTTACATGTCTGAAAGTACCCACCACACAAGATGTCTCTATTTATACTTATTTTAAAATAGGGATGTTTAGGAGGTTGAGAAAGGCTAGTGAAATGCTGTAAAGATGCTCAAAACCATTTAGTGCCCTTTCAGTATAATCTTGGAATATTGTGCAAAATTTCTACTAATCTCTCCTGTGTACCAAGCCTTCCTAAATAATTCACACTGGTGGAGGTTGGGGCCAAACAAGCAGAGTGTCAGAGTGAGCCAGGAGTGAGCCCAGTGGTAGCTAACGTCTGCAGCCAGCCAAACACACGCCCACCTGCCATGGCCAGGAGGCTGACTGCAACAGAGACTGATGGAGCCAGCAAATCAACATGCTAAAGACAGTGGGAGCCAGGCTCGCACGGGCAGGGAAGGAGGGCACAAATGAAAGGTGGGAGACCTTGAATGGATCCTATGGGTCTAGATTGGAATTTATAGTGTGCACTTGTGGTTTTCAGTATATACAGATAGATATAGAAATAAGTCTAGATGGAATTGTGTATACGGTCAACATACAGGTCATTGCTACCATCCACTGAAGATGATCTGCAGAAGGATTACACCCAGAAGCAATGAGTGTCTACTTTGTT